TGCTCCGCGGCATGTGGGATCTTCCTGGACCAGGGCTCGAACCCGTGTCCCCTGCATTGGCAGGCAGATTCTTAACCACTGCACCACCAGGGAAGTCCCCCTACATGAATTTTAAATAGCAACAATTTCCAAGTCCCTATCTCGGTTCTGATTTTGAACTGAGCGCCAACTTCTCGAAGCATCTTCTTCCAGCTGAAATCTACCTTTGGGCTTCCATCAAAGACGCCAAATCCAAGGTGCTGTCATGAGTGTTCCTGCATCTTCACAGACACTTGGAAGTCACCCTCTGGTTCTCACTTTCTGAATTTGGGGATGTTAGATGCACTGTCCTGGTTAGAATGTTGACTTCCTCAAGGAAAAATAGAGGATAGTTTTTGGATAGAGGAGCGTAAGGGGGTTGTAGGGATTTCAGGGTTGATCAAAGAAATAGACATGACCACCAGGTGGCAGTAGTACACACAGGCTTCTCAGGTGGCCTTTGACAGGTTTGCACCCCGGGGAAGTCCCTCTGGGCTGGGACCAACCGGAGACTTCTGTGCAGGAGACCACAGCGTGGAAGAGGAGGACAGCAAGGGACCTCCTCCAGGGATACAGGGCTCACGTGGTAGGTGATGTCTCTGGGCAGAGAGTGTGGATCAGAGAGCTCCAAAGGGCACAGCAGCTTGGGGTCTTTATAGCTCCTAGAAGCTTTATCTTTCTAGTCAGCAGATGTTAGGCACAGTTTCTCAGGGTATGCAAAGCAGGCGAGCTCTAAATGGCTAAAAATCTGCTTATTGGACGTATGTTTAAAACAGCTGAATGTATAAAAACTATTTTTAACAGCCTAAAATTTAACTTTATGTATACATTTTTAATTAAAATAGAATAGGCATAAACCAAAAAGAAGGGAAAAAGTCAAGATGAAGTGTCACTGTCATTTTGTTTGCAGGGAGGAGTCAAGAAATGGAAAAAATTTCCAGGAAGAAATTCTAAGACCATCCCAAAGCAGCTAGGTTACGTGTTACGTGTAAATGCCAGAATTAGGTACTATCCCACTTAATCTACAAATGAAACAAGGGAGTCAAGGTTTATCCTATTCAGTACAAGAATTTTTAGAATGTATAAAAATTTGAGTTTGGTTCCTGCAAACTTTTGAGCTGACACTTCTCAGCTACTGAGAAGAAATTAACACTCTGGGGCCAACATACCAAGTCCACCTGGGCTCATCCATGTGACAAGGAGACAGGGATGCTAGAAAGAGGAAGGAGATAAGTCATACAGGTTTTATTATTTTAAAAAGAAAAGCCAGCCATTAAAGAAAAACAATACACGATTATGGAGCTTCTGATTAAATGAAGGAATGGATTCTGATTCTGTAAGCTCCCTAGGTGGAGCTGAGCTTCATTATCAACCAACTTGGAATTGGTTTATCCTTATTTATTTCTTTTGAAGGAGAAGACTTACATTTAAAACATTTGACCCAAAGATGGTTACTTTGAAAGAACCCACGTAGGATTTTCTTTAAAAACATGTGTGTGTAAATACATTTGTTTTTCGTAATGCAGAGTGCAAGATTTTGATGTAGACTGCCTTGTGTCAGCTACTTCCCAGATGTCTAGATTTCCCATCTTTTTGACAGGAAGGAACATGACACCCACCACAGATACACATTCTAAGGATCACTTGCTTAAGTGTCGTAACTTACAATGATATGTTATTAAATAATAAAATGGAAACAAATATTGTTTGGTTGAGCCATTTCACAAAGGTAAAAACATTCAGGTCAAATGAAAGATAATATTTTAAAACTTCACCTGAGGGCTTCCCTGGTGGCACAGTGGTTACGAACCCGCCTGCCAATGCAGGGGACACGGGTTCGATCCCTGGTCCTGGAAGATCCCACATGCCGTGGAGCAACTAAGCCCATGCACCACAACTACAGAGCCTGCGCTCTAGAGCCCGTGAGCCACAACTGCTGAAGCCTGCGCACCTAGAGCCCATGCTCTGCAACAAGAGAAGCCACCACAATGAGAAACCTGTGCGCTACAACGAAGAGTAGCCCCCGCTCACCACAACTAGAGAAAGCCCGTGCAGCAATGAAGACCCAATGCAGCCAAAAGAGGGAGTGCCTGGGCTTTCTTTTCACTTGCCCAGATGTGGGGCAGCCGGGGAAGAGGAAGGGGTGAGGCTTAAAAGATGTCAGTAGTCAAACATAAACAAATGGAGTCAGAGTCTCTGTTACAATGTCACTTTTTTCAAAGTCTGTTGGTGACTGGTCGCTGTGTGTGTTATTCAGTGCCGCCCCCTTCCCCTGACAGCAAAGTGTGTCATTGTGTTGCCTCCTTGTCTCCCAGTGCGAAACCCACATGACATTTTACAAAAATGGATAGTCAAAAGAGGAAATTGGTCACCAAAAAGGAAGGTGCATCAAAGAAATGAAAAGTGTTCATGCAGGAAGGGAAACAATCTACGGGAATGGAGTTAGAGAAGAAATGGCTGGGGGCGGGGGAGGAGTGAATTGGGAGTTTGGGGTTAGCAGAGGCAAACTATTACATACAGAATGGATAAACAACAAGGTCCTACTGTATAGCACAGGGAACTATATTCAATATCCTGGGATAAACCATAATGGAAAAGAATATGAAAAGGAATATATATGTAAAACTGAGCCACTTTGCTGTACAGCAGAAATTAACAACATTGTAAATCAACTATACTTCAATAAAATAGATTTTTTAAAAAATGGCTGACTGTGGGATGAGTGACCCTGCTGCCTTTCGAGAGGTCTTAGATGTGCTGACAGAGGAGCTCAGTGAAGACCTGCTTATCAACACAGCAGAGGAAAATGGTTGTGGTGAAAAGGATGAAGCCGGCCCAGAGGAACGAATGCCAGCAAAAAACTTAACATTCAATGAACTTTTGGAGATAATTCATAACATTGAACATGCAAAGAACAAAATGTTGGAAGCTGATCCAAACTTAGGAAGGAGTGTATCAATTCACCACAGCATGGAAGGGATGTCCACTCCTTATCCTAAGTCACGTGACAAGATGAGCACTGTTCGAGCTATTCTTGATAAGTTTTCTACAAAGACACAAAACAGTTTATGTCCGCAGCAATGAAGACCCAACACAGCCAAAAATAATAAGTAAATAAAATAAATTTATTTTAAAAACAAAACAGTGAGTTAATAACAGACTCTGCATAGGTTGTTAGTAGATGTTTTCCTGACGATGCTGATTGGCAAGAGGGGTCGCTCTCATTCCTATATAAGATGAGAGAAATCCACAGCTCAGAGAGGCTCCCTGATTGTGAGCGAGCTGTGCTTAAAATAATAGAGATCTGACCATATTTTAAACATCCTAACTAATGAAAAGACTCCTATTGTGATTGCTTTTGGAACGCTAAGAATTCTCTTATCAGTGTAAGCTTCCAATTTACTTTGTGGGCAATGCTAAATTTTTACAAATCACCTTTATAGAGCAATAGCCACACGGGCTACGCATTACTAAATCCACTGCTAAATAAAGCTGAAATTTGGTGGGTTACCTGATCATTCTCGGCAAATGTGCCAGCTCCTATCATGTTTAGAACCCTGTGTTCTGAGGTGCTCAAGTTCACGCTGAGGAATTTGCTAAACAAATCCCTGGCAAGGAGTCAGAGCAGTGGTTTTCTGTATCCTTAAATCCTTTCAAATAGAAATGGCAAAACACACTGCCCGAGTCCACAATTCCTAAACTTTTGGAGTGTCAATCTTGGAGTTTCTTACTGTTTGAATCTGAACTCACTCGCTTCCCCAAAGGAGCAGCCTATTTATTTATTTTTAAAGTTAAACGGAATGAAAACTTCTGCACTTTGAATTAGGCAGCAATCAGGGCTAAAAATAACTGATTTCGCGAGTTTCCTACGGAAAATGTAAGACAGAGGTGATCAGTCTCCTTCCCAAGCGGGGTAGGTGGGGTCTGGGCCTGAGCGAGGGTGGGTCTGCACGGGACTCCCAGGGGGCGGGGGTCGAAGCGGGGGTCGAGGCGGGGGCCGGCCAGGGACTTTCAGCGCCCGGTGACAGTGCGAGTTTGTGGCAGTGATTTGGGGAATATCTCAGAGTTCAACAGGTTAGGGGGGAGACGGCTAACACACTGGCCTGGTGTTTGGGGGCTGCGCTCAATGACGGCAGGGACAGGAGGAGGGAAAAAGGAAAGGGGGGATGGAGATGGAGGAGAAGGGAAGGTGAAAGCCGCAGAAATAAAGGGCAGGCAAGAGAGGGCAGTGGAGGCAGGCAGAGCAGAGGGGGCGAGAACACGGGGGAGGCGCGCGGGCGGGCGGTCCTCCCGCCGGCAGGGGGCGCGCTCCCGGCAGCCCCGCGCCCCGTCCCCCTCCCCACCAGCCGCGCCTGCGCCGTCGCTCCGCCTCGCCCGGGATGCTGCTGCCGCTGCTGCGGAGTAGCTGCTTCCCCTCCTCTTCCCCCGGCGGTGGCGGCGGCGGCGGAGCGGACACGGGCGCGGGGGGCCGGCCGGCGGCACAGCTGCAGCGCGGAGCCCGTGGACCGCCGGGGCCTCTTGAGCGCGCGCTCGCCCAGCCCGGGGCCGACCCGCGGCGCGCGGCG